ACAGCACATAGGTAATTCGACGTGTTCAAAATGGATAACAACATTTCAAATTTACGAATTTCAAAGGAAACAACTTTTGTTGCAACAGTTTTTTTGAGATATGCTTTGCGTAGTCAGAATTCGTGTAAAGGTTTTGGGATGCCTATCCTTGCAACAAGGGCTTCCGAAACCCTAAGAAATTATTGTCACAATCAATAAGTTTTACTTGTACCATAGTGACTAGACAGTCCAAAGTACTCTCTACAATTCTGCGCAAGGCCGACCTCTCATCTGTTGTGGTTCTCGAATGGCAGTCATTTTTCTGAGTCACCCGTAATTCGTTATCATAACGAATTACGTGTGATTTCCGTTGAGCTTATTCCATGCAGAATGACATCAGCTACAACTTCGTCAGCGAAAGTTTTTCTCGGATATTCTTTGTTATCGCACAATCGCTGGCAAGGTTTTCAAAAATTACTTTTTAACCTTAAAAGTAGAAATAACACTCTTTTTTAATTTTCTGGGTTTTTTTGTTTTTTCCACATGGAAAAATTGCCGAAATTTTCACGAGAAAATGAAAATCAACAAAAAGTTTCGAAATATATAACATTCGATTCAATTTGCGACCCGTGAGAGAAAAGGAAGAGCAGATTACTATACTTTATTTCGATCTCACCTTGGGTTTTTTATTCATAGGTATTGAACTGACAGGATTAATATCTCTGTCAACGCCGATATATTTACTTACATTAACAACAACTTACTTTTTGTTATGGATAAAACCCATATATTTTGATAAGAAGGAAAAAAACGTTATCGGGGGAAACCATACTTGAATCAAAAAGGTATTTTTCTTATAATATCAAAGATTTTTAAATTTTATTGTATAAATACGTTTATACATAAAGTTCGTATTTGGGGTTGCTCTACTTATTGTTTATCATCAATCAAAAATTAAGAGTGCGATTCAAACTTTTCAAAACACAAAGTAAATAATGAACCAGGCGACGAATGAATTTGATAAAATTATTAATAGTTGGAGAACAAAACTTATTCAGCTGATCGATGATTTAGCCAATAATGCATTAAAACAACAATTAAATTATTTAGATGATGTGTATGAGGAATATCACGATAATAATACGCTAAGAAGAGAAATGATAGTTTATCAGCAAGTGGAAAATGAATTAAAAAATAAGTTAAATGAAGAAACTACTAAAAAGTTTCTTAATTACGATAATGATGAAGAATATGGTAATGAATCGAACAATGAAATTAATAGAAATAATAATAATAGTCCAATTTTAATTGGTCCACAAATATTAATAACTGACGAAAATAGTGCATCACATGTTGATAATTCGAGTGATGACAGTGATCGACCACCACGTTTAATTCTATCACAAATATCTGTTACTGATGAAGTAGATGCTGATCTATGTGTCCACGTTAAACAGAGTGAATTTGGTACTATATCGTGTGATGAAGACAAATTTTATGGTTCTATTGCTGGTCATGGTAATGAATTAGTTTATTTTCAGTTTGATAATATAACAAAAAAAGCACATTTAACGGTTGTACCAGGTATACAGAACACAGATCAAATACGTACTTATGACTTTCAACAATTTGTTAGAGATATGGAATATTCCACAGTATTAGACTGCTATCTATGTGCAACCGCCGCAAAATATAAGTGTAGATTATTTAAATTTTATTCACAAACAGGTTATACTGTTGAATGGATTAATTTCACTGAATTTCGTCCACAACACCGTAATGAAATATTGAAACGAATATTTTGTACCAAGAATAGGATTTATTTAATATTTTGGAATGAAGGACGAACTGATGAATTAGTTCTACTTGATTATAATAAAAATAAAATAGACTGTAAACTGATAAATGATTTGATCCAAGATGAAAATTGCGAAATAAGTGATATTAGCGGTCCAGATAATGATAAGCAGTTAGCATTAGCATATAGAGATAAACAAAAATTTGGTATTTATATATATCAATGTTTAAATTCAATATGGTTGCGTATAAAGAAAGTTTACTTAGATGAAATCGATGACACCCCATATTTTTCTCCAAGACTTTGTTGGTTGAATCAGTTAGATCTTTATTCCATTATTGATTTTAAATCTGGTGATATGATAATGATGAACTGTAAAGGTGACTTGAAGGGAAAACGTTCGTTTATTTGCTATTTAAATGTTGATAGACCAGAAATAAGCCCAATTAATGTATGTTCACCAAAGAACAAAAACTGGTTGGCGATTCGTTATGAAAAACTAATTAGCATTCATCAACTTATTGATTAATTAATACATCAGTGTTACAACCGGACCGATAAATCGGCATCAAATTGGTCAGTAACGGACGACCCGATCTATTAAATTTAACTGCCATCCATGAGTTATAAAACATCATTTTCTGTTGGACAAGCAGTTACTGACGAAGAAAAATTCGAAACGCGTTTAAAATTCTCGTGCATGTGGGATACTATCACTTTTTAAAACATCATTCTTTTTGTTATTCAAAATATATATTTTTTTTTCTCACCCTCATCCATTCGGACAAACCGAGAGAAAGTATTGGGATGATCAAGTTAGATTCCCATTTTATTATTCTTGAATCAAGCAATTCTTTCTCAAACACTCAATTGCTAACACCTCTATTTATGCCTATTATAACGGAAGACCGTATGAACAAATAGAGGACGTCTACACAAACACCACCATTATTGTTCGTACCTCTTTGATGAAAGATGTTAAAGTGAGGCATTTTTGATGTATTGCATAGCTCTCCTACTTCCGTAAAAACACCGACTGATGAGTCAATATCAAATGCTAATTCAGTGGCCTCTAGAGCTTTAATTCCCCATCCTTGAACATTATAACATAACACATTTAAAGAACTTTGTTTAGCACATAAATCATTTGATCCATAATTTTCCCATAGCTTTAAAATTGCTTCTAAAGTTTCTGCCGAATACCACTCATTAAGAACACATTCCACAATTTTCTCATGTTTTTCAGAAAAACCCCATTGTTTAAATTGTTATATTGCTGCCTCTTTTCGATGTAAGGTAGATGAAGAAGGAAGGAAAGGACTTGCATTTAAATTTAATGTTGATGTTAAATTCATGATGAATCATCCATATCACTCTCCTTGGCTGTTGGTGTTACATGAATAGGAGGTGTTGAACTTCTCTTTCTTCGGATTTCATAGTCGTTTCGTAGCATGTCTATAAGAGGTTTTAATTTAACTAATATGCCAGTTGCTTTTTGTCCTAGATCTTTGGGTAAAATAACATTATTACTAGCATCAATTAATATACAGATTGTTGTATTCAATGTTTTTTTATGTATGTTGAAAACTAGACATGGCCTGTAACATTGCTAGTGGAATAAGAAAAAGTCATGAACATAATATGATACATCGTGACATACCACCAGGTAATATTCTAGTTAACAATAATTTCATAGCTAAAATTGGTGATATGGGTATTGCGAGAACAGTGGATGAAAATAATCGACATACACAAATTGACTGTTAGGTATTTATGCCATTAGAATTCTATAAGGGTGATCAAAATGAAGTTGTTTATGATAAAAAATTAGATATATACACGTTTGGACTGACGTTAAATGCGTTCGTTATTCACAGATACAAAACATGATTTTCACCTTCTCACTAGACAAAAACTTGTGGTCAAACAAAGTCCAGTCTTCTGGGATCTCATAAGTCGCTGTACCGGTGACGATCCTGAGCAACGACCAACAGCACTTGAGATAGAAAAAACATTAGAACTGTACAATACGAGTTAGCCATTTGGGACGTACAGCCTGACAGGACATATACGAAAGAAATTAAGGAGATCTGAATGAGCATTGTCGATGAGACATAAATCTATTTAAAAAAAAGTGCTTTTTATCGTTTTTTTATGAAAATTGAGGAACAGGGTGTTCATCTTAAAGCTGTTGTCTTCTCACGATCGTTCTTTGAGTATGCACACATTATGCTTTCCAACAACTAGTACTTCGAAAGGAACTGACCTATATTGATTTGTCATCTGAGGATAAAAATAAAAGATTCATGGAATTTTATGAAGTTTTCAATCCGAAAGCCAGTGAGTATCTTGAATGCAAGTGAACTAACTACACAAATATTAGCGAGTGACTAACGGACGAGTAATTGAGAAAAATCAGGTGATCAATAGTGACGCTCGAACACATTTTTGCGGTATTTCGTGCTGATTTTCAAGGCTAGTTGTTCCAATTCACATGAATATGTCCCATTCGTTTCTAAGGTTCAAAACGTCAACAGATATCAGACTGGAGACTGCAACAAATTGCAGATATCCTACCTTGAAGTCAGAAACATTCAGTCACAATTGCAAATGGAACGTGGTTATTTGGTAGGTGCTCAAAATCCAGTACCAAAATCAAAAAAAGAACATACCATACTATTTATCTGTCTATTTAAGGTCACTATGCAAAGGTAATATTCGTGGCAAAAATCAAAAGCTTCTTCGATATCTAGCAGCTGATTTTTCAATTCTTTCGAACTAATAGAAACTTTTAGATCTCAAATAGAATGTGTCAAGTGGAAACCAAATAAAATGCTGATATATTTATTATTTGAAATTCCATATCTTTGAGCGGGCATCAGCATTTTATTTGGTTTCTACCTGACACATTCTACCCAGGTTGAAGATTACGATCGTCGTAAACTGTGAGATATTGCCGTAAACGTCAAATGATACTGCAGTATACGTCGATGTAATTCGACGTATACGTCGCATTACGTCAAAGTAACCCCGGCCAACGT